GGTGTGTGTGTGTGTGTGTGTGTGTGTGTGTGTGTGTGTGTGTGTGTGTGTGTGTTTGCATGTGTATGTGTTATATACACCATGTATATACCTGGTGCCCATGGAGGCCAGAAGAGAACATTAGAACTCCTGAAACTGGCATGTGAGTGCTGGTACCAAACTTGGGTCCTCTGCAGGAATTGCAACAGCTCCTAGTGAGTCAGCCTATCACCTCCCAACTCCCACTTTTGAGCATAGGAACATACCCAAGCTAACTACTTGAACCTTCTCCAAAAACCTGTTTACACTTTTTAAAAAATACATTTGTTTTTATTTGAGGGGTGTGTGAGGGGTGTGTGGGGGGGGGTGTGTGTGTGGGTGTGTGTGTGTGTCTACAGAGGCCAGAGGCATCCGATTTCCTAGAATTGAGGTTAAAGGCTATTGTGAGCCACCTGATGTCAGTGCTAGGAACCAAACTCACATACTCTGCAAGAACAGCATGTGCTTTAACCGCTGAGCCATCTCTATAGCACCTCAGCCCTCTTCATGCTCTCTGTCTGTTAATGTATCTATCGTTCCATCCTCTCTACCCCAAAGTCTGAAGTACCCCTGTTGTTCTCTTCCTCAGGGAGTAAGTCAGGGTCACCCACCAAGATGCCCCCTCAGCCCAGAACTACCTCTTGGCCCTCTGTCCCAGATAAGCCCAGAAACCCCACCTATGGGCCTAACATCTGTGATGGGAACTTTGACACCGTGGCCATGCTCCGAGGAGAGATGTTTGTCTTCAAGGTGAGAGGAAGAGAATAAATGGAAAGGAAGAAGAAGAGAAAGAGAAGAAGGGGCCAGAAGGAGTCTCAGCAAGGAAGCTGGTGGAAGCAGTAATAGAAGGACTGAAAACTAAAACCATAGGACTGAGGGCAGTGGGGGAGCTTGGGGACTGAAGACGACAACCAAGGTACAAGACATGACGTGCTCTCCCCATCTTTACTGGTTTCTAGGAGCGATGGTTCTGGCGGGTGAGAAATAACCAAGTGATGGATGGATACCCGATGCCTATTGGCCAGTTCTGGAGGGGCCTGCCAGCATCCATCAATACTGCCTATGAGAGAAAGGATGGCAAATTTGTATTCTTCAAAGGTAACCAGGCATTTCCTAGACTGGGGAAATTGGGAGGGTCTCCTTGGATGAGCTGATTCCACTTCAGTCCCAAAGACTTCAGAGTCAAGCTGAACCCAGATTCTTCCCTTCTCTCTTATCCCAGGAGACAAGCACTGGGTGTTTGACGAGGCTTCCCTGGAACCTGGGTACCCCAAGCACATTAAGGAGCTAGGCCGAGGACTACCTACTGACAAGATTGATGCAGCTCTCTTCTGGATGCCCAATGGAAAGACCTATTTCTTCAGGGGAAATAAGTAAGACCTCGCACCCTTAACCCCAAGCCTCTCCACTCAGAAACTATTATTACCACTGCCACTCCAAATATCCTCATCGCTAAATTCTGAAGAAAGGCCCACTTTCTCCCCAAAGTGTTGCCCTGGAACCAGCTAAGTCTTTACATTGCCTAGCAATAGGCAGTTTTTCTTAGTGCTGCCTGAGTGGGATGTGACCCGGTCATCATTTCAGACCTGGTCATTTCATGCCTCCTGCCCCCAGCACTGTGTCTCCACCCCAGCCACCAGGCTCTGTCATTAAGGGTGGCTGGTGGCTCCTTACAGCCTAGACCCTCCCCTCCACCTCCTCCTTCCGCCTCTTTCAGCTGCAGGTCCTCATTACTCAAAACCCCTGTCCCTAACCATGACCATAGCTAGCCTTTGTTTCCTGGTGCACTCTGTCATGGGTCTGCTGACCTCTGAGGACAAGCCCAGTATCCAACCACTTCCCTTTCTCTCCCATCCCCCAGGTACTACCGTTTCAATGAGGAGTTCAGGGCCGTGGACAGCGAGTACCCTAAAAACATCAAAGTCTGGGAAGGAATCCCTGAGTCTCCCAGAGGGTCGTTCATGGGTAGTGACGAAGGTGAGTGTGAAACCGTGTACAGAGAAGGATGGGCATGGGGAATGAGGAAGAGCAGAAAGACAGAACTACCATTGATGATGGTAGCAATTGCCAGGAGCCAGCAATGGTCGATTGCCAGGAACTAGCCAAGTGCTTTCATATGTAGTACCCCCCATCTTCCCACTCTTCCAGCCTGGTGCTGTGATGGACTCCCTTTTCCACTTGAGGAAGCAAATGTTGAGGAAGATTGAGAAGTAAGCTTAGCTGGCCATCACAATAACTTGCTTTCTTCTTTTCTCTCTTTGGGGCCTTTATGGACTCTGTCCGGGTCTTGGTTCTTCTCATCTTACACCATCCTCTCGGTGCCCTTCAGTCTTCACATACTTCTACAAGGGGAACAAATACTGGAAATTCAACAACCAGAAGCTGAAAGTAGAGCCCGGGTACCCCAAGTCGGCTCTGCGGGACTGGATGGGCTGCCCTTCAGGGGGCCGACCTGATGAGGGGACTGAGGAGGAAACAGAGGTGATCATTATCGAGGTGGACGAGGAGGGCGGCGGAGCTGTGAATGCCGCCGCTGTCCTACTGCCCGTGCTGCTGCTGGTGCTGGTGCTGGTGGTAGGCCTTGCAGTTTTCTTCTTCAGACGCCACGGGACCCCCAAGAGACTGCTTTACTGCCAGCGTTCACTGCTGGACAAGGTCTGACCCCCACCGCTGGCCCACCCGCTTCTACCACAAGGACTTTGCCCCTGAAGGCCAGTGGCAGCAGGTGGTGGCAGGTGGGCTACTCACACCCACCCTGAGCCCTCTCCCTCCAGCCTCACTTCTCAGTCCCTGAATGGCCTCTCCTACCTTCACCCCAGCATTGCTTCATCCATAGGTGGGACCCCTGAGGGCGGAGCAGGAAGGCGGTCCCTTCTGGCCTCTGGCCCTCGAGGGAACCTCACAGCTTGGTGTGTGTCCAGCCCTGTTTGAATGTTTTCAGGGCTCTGCACTTGAAGGCAAGACCCCCTGACCTCACAGGCAAAGGCCAGGTGGGGTCATCTGCTTCTTTTCCATCCCCTGACTATGTACCTTAAATCTCTGAACTCTGACCTCAGGAGGCTCTGGGTATGTGAGCCCTATAAGTACCAAGTGTACCCAGTTGGCAGCCCTCCCACCACTCTAACTAGAAGGAATCTGAGAGTGTGTGTTTGGAGGTGGAAAGATTGCTCAGCTACTCTAAAGACTTCAATTTAAAAAAAAAAAAAATCATTCAGTGAGGGTCTTGGTGGCTTGGACAACCAAGTTCCTCTCCACAAAGATCTGCCTCTATCCATCCCAGCCTGGAGAACCTCCAAGGAGTCTGAGCCATTAGGACTGAATGGGTCTGAGGAAACCGTTGGCAAAGCTCGCCCCTCCTGAATGTTAGCCTTGGATGTCAAGTTCAAGGTCACAAGAGCTGAAAGCAGGGGGAATCGCCCCAGGTGCAGAGAGGTCACAGGGAGACAGCAGGATATGGAGCATGGGGGATGAGCCTGGTGGCTCAAAAGACCTATCCAAATGCAAGTAGCTGGGGCTAGGACCCAAAGACAGCAGTCAAAGGGGGCAGGCAATGAGGCGTGGTGGCAGTGTGTGCCTGGGAGCCTGGGCAGACTGCAGGGCACACACAGGACACTGTGGTACCCAGGAGTGGGCACATTTTATTGGATCTCTCAGAGAGGGTCTTAAGGAAGCCACACTGGCCTCTTTTTGACTCCTTGCTCACTGACTGGAAGGGAAGGATAGGAGTGAATACAGGAGTAAAAAGAGCATATGTTACAGGGACTGGGGACTCGAGAGAGACCAGAGGAGGCTGTCAGTGGCCTAGCCTTGCTCAGTCTGCCTCACTGCCCTAGTGAGGCAGGTGTCTGGGTGCTCCTGGGTAGGGTGGCCCTCCCTTTTCTGATGCAGGCACTCCTCAGCCCATTTTACCTGTGTCCTGCCCTTCCTCTTCCCCAACCAGCTGACCCATTTGAAGTCTCCTTCAGCCACTGAAGGTGGTCATGGTACTGGGGGCTTGGGAGAGTGAGACCCTGTGGAGGGCATGAGAGGAGAGGAGTGTCTGGGTGGGGTTTGGGGCTAGGGAAAACGGGGTGAACGGTGCTGGAAGCCCAGCTAAATTTCTGTCTTGTTTGGGTTTTTTGTTTTGTTTAATGTATATTTTTATTATAATTATTATATATGAATGCCATTCAAATCGTTCCTTTTTGTTAACAAGGGGCAAAGGGAGGGGTGGGGGAGGGGGGCAGAGGCAACTGACCCCAGAAACCTGCAGGGCGGGGCTGGGCCAGTGCCCTCTAAGGACATTTTTGACCTTGTTCAACCTTTCCACGAAGAATAAACTGTGTTTCACATCCTTTGTGTGACTATAGCTTGGTGTAGGGGTGAATTCGGTGTGACCAAGCAGGATGAGGAAGAGCAGACATTGAGAACAGTGTTTCCCATGATGTGAGGGCTTGGTATTTGTCATAAATATTTATTCTCAGTGTATGGATGGGATTTAAGAGCTGGAGTTGGGGAGCAAGGCATATCCCACTAGAGGTTAGAGGAGTGATTGGCAGAACCCACCTTCCTTCCCCAGAATCCTTAAAAGGCTTCCTTTGAGAGTCCAGGCTCCCAGAGATAGGAGGAAGTGGTCACGCTGAGGCCATCTGGAAAATCTTCCTAAATTGCATTATTCTGCCGTGTGATCTGGCCACAGACACTCGAGTTTCCTCATACATCTATCTCTGCAGCACGGATATTCCCATGATCATATTGGACGGAGGCTTAGTGACAGGCCTGGGGAAGCTGCTTCTAAATCTGAGCATGGCGGGGCACACCTTTACCCTCAACCCTCTGGAGACAGAGGCAGTCATAGTTCTGGGAGTTTAAGGCCAGCCTGGTCTACAGAAGTCCGTTCTAGGCCAGCTGGGGCTACACAGTGAGACCCTGCCTAAAAAAGAAAAAAGGAGGAAAAGGGGGTGGTTCTTACAGGCCTGGGACTCTGATGTTGGATCAGGAGATCAGGAAGGGGCCAAAAAAAAAAAAGGAGGTGGCCCTATGGTCTCATCCACTAGGCATGTCTTACCCCCTGGCAGAACAGTGTTTCTCAGTTGCCCAGAAGACCTGGGACCCTCGGGTTAGAAGGGTAGAATAACAAGGTTTTGTTTCCATTGTCCATAGAAACTGCTGCTCTAGACAGGGTTCCCAGGCTGTTGACCCTCCCTTCCTCCAAAACCAGCCTGAAGGGAGGGGTCAGCTCAGTTGCTGAGTCAGCTCTGCTGGAGGAGAGCAGTCCCCTTCTCCCGCCTTTCCTTCCTGCCTCAGCCCAATCTTCCCTGGGCTCATGCCCAGGTCCTCCACAGCCTGCTTTCAGAGCCTGGCCCCACCTATGCCACTCTTCTATCTAGCTGCTCTGCAGAGTGGCTGGCATGATTGCTTTGGCAGATGGGGTACCCCACCTTCCTGCCAGCCAGCAACCCTGACCCCAAGCATGGTCACCTGTGCCTCTCCTGCCAACAGCTGTTTGGCAGAGCCTGTGTGTCTCTCGGTGAAGTTAGGCACAACCCCCACCACCACCCTCACCAGAAGGGATTAGACTGAGAAGGTGGCCCTGGGGGAAGTCAGGGGCATCTAGGGGTAGTCTATGCATGTGACAAAAAACTCAGAAGATGAGCTCATGGCCCTTTTGTGTTTTTGCGGTCCACATATGGAGGCAATTACAGATGTTATCCAGAGGGAATTCTGCAAAACACAGCTGGAGCCAGTGGAAGAGCCCAAGAGGGGAGACTGCCAGAGGGAAGAGGAGGGGGAGCCTAGGGCTGGAGTGCGGTTTCCCCATCACGAGGAAATTGTTTGGCTAGGATTCTGGAATCACAAGATGCTCTCTGAAGCCAAGGGGGAGAGATGGAAATGCAGAATTGGAGACAAAGGGGGGATGAGCTAGAAGATTGATGCTGCACAGACAGGACCGTGGGGCAAAAGCGGAGGGCCTGGTGCTGATGATGTACTTGGACCCACCCACTGAACTCCATGAGGTTGCCCGGTGACCTCAGAAGATGCCTTAGTGGTCATAAGGCCCCACTTGAGTGAGCCACCATGTCAGGATAGGATGACAGGAGGCAGAGGGCCCTCTGGCTCCCAAGGACCTGCAAACTGTTTTCACTGGCCTGGCTGATTTGTCTGCTGGGCCTGACCCAGTTTCTATGGTTCCAAGTTCCTTTATTCGAAAGCAGCACTTGTGAGTTGGGGCAGCCAGAAGGAGCCAAGTGGAATATGTGAGGAGGTTCGGGCAGCCCTGGGGACACTGGTCTAAGAAGATACTGGAGTGGGAACAAAGGACAAGAAGGAGCAGCTCTTTACCCATCAACACACCCCACAACCTGAAGTGGGGGGGTCCTCTCTTTTCATCACTCTCCTTTTCCAGGGATCCTGCCCCCAGCTGGTTCAAAGCTAGGGAAGGGAAGGCCTTAGAGGAGCCACACCCTCTGAAAGAGAGTATGAGCAGAGGGATGTCTCTGCTCACTACAATCTGGTTAGCCCTGCTGGTCCTTCCCTGCCCCCTCCCAGGACCTTTCCCCCACAATCTAACAGACTTCCCAGCCATCCTTCTCCCTTGCATCCTCCTTGCCCTTGCTGAAGCCTTCACTCTACAGATCAACAGAGGCCCTAACACAGGCTCCTTTCACAGACAAAGGAACTAAGCCGTGCAAGTCACAGTTCTTGTTTTTTGTGATGTTGTTTTTTTAACTATTTATTTCATTTTGTTTGCATGTATGTCTGTGTGGGGTATCAGTTCCCCTGGAACTGGAGTTACAGATGGTTGCGAGCTGAACTTGTGGGTGCTGGGAATTGAACCACGGTCTTCTGGAAAAGCAGCCAATGCTCTAACCACTGGGCAATCTCTCCAGCCCCCAAGTCACAGTTCTTTAGTCCAAATTTAAGCCCCCTATCAGGGACTAGGGCTGTGGCTCAGTGGTAGAACATTTGCCTGACATGAGCAGCACTGAGTTTGATTCTCAGCACTGCAAAACAAAACAAAAAGCGAAGCCTCCCTGGGTTGTTTTCCTATTCAAGCACACTCTGACAAGGCCTCTTGAGCACCCCTTGCAGTGTGGACTCATGCAGCTAGTAACTTCACAGGAGTGTGCTCTGGGGAGCTGTCAGGATATCTGTGTTTGCTCCATGTGCCAGGCAACAGATCTGTGGAGGCAGCCAGAGTGGGGAAAAGAGGGCATGGGGGAAGCTCCTCAGAAAAGGAAGCCAATTTGCAGCCTACCACTTTGCCGGTGTTCTGAAGGAAGGTGCCACAAAAACTCAGAGACTAGAGGGGACAAAGTACTTGCATACAACAGCAGTGGGAGGTGTTGACGAACAGTTGTGCAAAGAACAAGGGAACACCAAAGCCTTCAGAGGAATGACTGCCGTTCCCAGAAACCCCTAGAAAACTCCAGCCTTAGCTCAGGCTGTTGTCCCACAGTCCCGGTACCCACTTTGTACCCATCCCCAATTTAAGTTCATCTCCTTTAGGAGACTAATTTTCTACACCTAGCCCTGCCCCTAGGACTTCCTGCTTTTTTTTCCCCCCTCAGTCTTAGGGAGTTGGGGAGACCCAGTGACAGCCTGCATTGGGGCTAAACAGCTAGGGCCTGGAAGGCAGCAAGCCTGATTGGACAGAAACCAGCTTCCCAATGAGCTCACAC